AACTACTACATCTAAGAGTCCATATAAAAACTAACACATCTAATGGTTTATATTGATTTGAGGGAATCATTCTCTCACGGGATTATAGTGTTTCCCAATAATTAAATAGAGTTTTGGTTTTCTATTCCTATCTTTATAGTGTTCTTTTTTTTTTTTAGATTTGCGTGATATATAGCGGCAAAATTTACCAAATTTCTTAAATTGGCAAGTTATTTTACTACAATTTTGTGTATACGTAAGTGTCCTTCTAGCAAGAAGTTTTTTCTTTTTTTTTTTAATTTTTTTTTAATTTTTTTTATTTTAATTAGAAAACTGAGTTACGTTTTCATATGTTTATAATAGAGCGAAACACTACAATCCCGTGAGGGAATGATTCCCTCAAATCAATATAAACTATTAGATGTGTTAGTTTTTATATAGACTCTTAGATGTGGTAGTTTTTATATAGACTCTTAACTGTGTTAGTTTTTTAATAATAACCTTTTTGTATTAACAATAATAACGTGCACTAGGGCTCATTCATTCAGCAGACCGTTTTCACATCACATAATCTCCCATGAAAAAGCTTAAGCAGGCGGCAGAAACAGAGGAGACTCTGTCCACAGCCATGGCGGACGATAGAATATCCAATTTGCCAATACATACACTTCACCGTATTCTCTGTTCCCTCTCCCAAAAAGAAGCTGTGAGAACATGTCTACTCTCCAAACAATGGCGCTACATAGTATCAACCCGTCCCGACCTCGAATTTTTTGAATATTGGTTCGACAACACACAACAAAACTTTGTCTCGGTAGTCAGCCGAACCCTACAAGGATACCTTGATCAAAACCTCTCCGTACACAAACTCCATCTCGACTTATCAAGGCCGATGGTCTCCCTTCTCGACAAATGGATGTGGATAATAGCCGCCCTCGGCATAAAAGCGTTCAAACTAGACATTTTTTCTTCTACTTCGGTGTATTACGACCTGCCCTCGGCAGTCTTCTTATCCGACTCCCTCCAAGAACTACACTTGTGCAATTGCAGGTTGAGCCCAGTCGAGAGCGTGCGGTTCAACAGTCTGCACATGCTCACCCTCGAAGAAGTCCAAGTTGATGGCAGGACTTTTGAGACAAAAACATTGAGATGCCCTTTGCTCAGGCGCCTGGTCATTAAAAGGTGTTGGGAGTTGAGAAACGTTTGGTTGAGCGAGGCGCCTGGGCTCAAGCACTTTGAATTGTTTGATTCCGAGAGGATGGAAGGGCGTACCATCGAAATTGATGTCCCGAATCTCGAGACGGTCAGCATCAGGGGCCCATGGATTTGGTCTCACCAACAAAGCACATTCTTGTTTTCTCGTCTCACGAGTTTGCATCTCTGTAATGTGATCCTGTCGAGTGAGTCAATCGACATGTTATCGTTCGGCTTCCCGACTCTTGAGAGCTTGGCTCTAGATAATTGCTCCGGTTTCGAGGGATTACATCTTGCAAATGATTCGGTCAAGCGGTTGAGCATCGCGACAAGCAAAATATTGCTTAAAGGAGTTACGATTTGTGCCCCTAACATTGTCATTTTTGGTTTCACTGCCGGTATTCCCCATGCGCCGGACACATTCTCTTTCACGACAACTACTTCCAAGGAGTGGTACTCACAAGTATTCCTCTCTTCGAGTGCGGAAGGTCCCGATTTCGACGCCAATTTGTGGTTCCTTAAGCTGAGACGAATGCTCAAGACACTAAGTGGGTCACGAATTTCTCTGATTCTGGAGATGGGCAGT